TTTTTGTACAACACGTTACGTGTGTTTTATTGGGTGGTGCACATATTCAAGTATTACGTTGCAAGTATGAGTGTTTATGAGTCGGTTTGGTTTGATTTTGTATGAAACTAGTAATTGGCCTATGCAATGCACATGTTATTCAAAAAAAAATATATATATATATATATATATTTGATAATACAATGTGTGTTATAAAAAAAAATTATTTTAATTAAAAATCAAAATTAAAGTATGATTTTAATTATTTATTTTAATAATATTGGTGCTATCATCCTATAAAATAGTTACTTGAATAGTTATATATATATATATATATATATATGTTAGTTAAATTATTTGTGTATTTTGATAATTTTAGTTCTATCATATTATAAAAGTTTAATTATCATATAATAATTTTGTATGATATATATTAAATTATAAAATAGAAAAATAAATACTCATTTTGATATTAAAAATAATATTTAAATTAGAAGAAAAATTAGTAACATAAAATTAAAAATAATTCTAACTATTTAATTTTCTTTTATATTCATTTGGAAAATAAAAATATGTAGAAATAGAAATTTATTAAAATTTATTACAAAAATTAAATATAAATATATTGTAGTTGGATTATCAAATAATGATTTTATATGATATATATATATATATATATTAAATTATAAGATTGTGAAATAAGCACTCTTAATTAAATTAAAATATCAACTATATAAAAGAAACAATCTCATTTCGTAGCTCGAAATCAGTGTGGCTCGACTGGCCCGAAAATCAAAACAATATCGTTTTGATGATTTTTTTTTTTCTTACCCATTTCTCTGTTCTGATCTGTGTCTTCTCTTCTTCAACAAAGAAGAAGAAGAAAGAAAGAAAGAAAGAAGAAAGAAGAGGAAAGAGAGAAGAGGAAGAGGAAAGAGAGAATCAAAACCAAATTATCATCATCATCAACACCAGAGGGATCTACTATACACACACATATCTATATATATATATATACATATATATGAGACGGATCTATATCAAAACCAAATCATCATCATCATACACACATCTATATATATATATATATATATGAGGGATCTATACATCATCATCATCATCATCATCAAAAATGAGAGAAGAACAGACCCTCTATCACTGTCGCAAGGTCTCTCTTCCTCTCTCTTTCTCCCTCTCTCTCTCTCTCCCTCTTGCCCTCTGTTTCAGGTATAAACGCGATTAAAAAAAAAAAACTGCCCAAAACGCCCTGGTTTTGGACATTTGAGCCACATTTGAGCCACAGAATTAGGGCCCCCAAACATTTTTCTTTTGAGTAAATCTTAAATAAATTTTAATTTAGTTGATTATAAATTGAACGTGTAATTTGATTTTTTATAAGGTACATAATCGAGATGAACAAAAAAATATATTGAAACTTACCTTAGGAGTTTAACAAAAGTTTTTAAAAAATATTCAAATTTAACTTATTTACTTAACAAATCAATCTCAAATAAAATTTTAAAGAGTCAAATTTGAGTGTCATTTTGGGAACATGGTAAAAAGTCACGTTTTTGGATAAAATGTCCAAAAACGTGGCTGCCAAAAACGCCAGAAAAGCCATTTAGCAAGTGAAAAAAATGCAGCCGTAAAATTACAAATTAGGGCTTATGAAAAAAAATAAAAAAATAAATCTCTTATGTTGGGTAAGGGTATTTTGGTCATTTTAATTTGATTTGACACCATAAATAAATATTAAATTAAAAAGCAAAAAGCCAACTTTTTACCAACTTCCCAAATCACTTCAAAAACTGTATCTTCAAGAAACGACGTCGTTGTTTTGTACCATTTGAGCACTTTTTGAGCCACAAAATTTGAGCTACGTGCATAGATAGAGTCGGAAAATAGAAATCTCGTACTTATAAGCATTAGAAATTGACTTGGTTGTGTACTGTCTATATAGTCGCCACATTATATTAAAGCATTAGTTGAATGGATTGCAACATTTTATGTAACCATATTAGGGCATGAATATCATGATAAATATGGTAATCATTCAAATTTCTAAGCACGTTTGTTGATGATGACAATTTTTTTCCGTCCTTTACCATTAACTGCCCTTGTGATGGGCTACTTTAATAAAATTGTTTATTATTTTAATTGAATTGATGAGGAATGTAATTTACAACCATTAGTTATGTAACCTTCGTTCTGACCTAAGTTAAAAAAAGATTTAATAAATAGTCACAAAAAATAAAGATTATATTTTTTAGTATAATATAGACAAATATATGTCACATCCAAACTATAATTATTTTGTTTTTCTAAAAAAAAGTCAAAAAATATATAAAAAAAAAACCTATCACATACGAGGTTTTAGCCTCAGGGATAAAATAACTAAAAAAAAATAAAATCAACTCACAATCCCAAATGAACCTCATTATATGACAATAGAGAGTAATAGGAATTCTGACATAATAATGGTAGACTTACAAAATTCTTTCATTAAATATACTATTAAAAATAAATTGTTAAGTTTGCCTTATTGTAATATAAAATTTTTTTTTTTTTTTTGGGTGTTAGAAATCCGTCCAACACTTCCAGGACATAGTTGTAATTAGAGATGTTCAAATATCTCAATAAACCGAATATCGAACCCAAATCAATCTATTGCGTTGATGGATTTTTGATTTTTTAGTGCATTAATTTGGTTCTGGATCTTCAAATCATTAAAGGGATAAATTTTGCTTTGTTCGTTTGATTAGGACATTGTATAAAAATCAATACCAAATCGAGAACCAACATTTATATATATTATATTTTTAATTTATTATTTATATTGACATGGTTCAACCTAGTTATTCTATTATCAATGGACTTTGATTACATCCTATAATTTTTTATATACAATAATTATTAGATTAATGGAAATTACTAGAAGCTTGAGTCGGATTTGTAATGATTTTAATTTGTAACAAATTGTTATATTGGATAGATTTTAATTTATATTGATTATATTAGTTGGTGTTGGGATTAATTTTATTGTGACTTGTATTAAATAATTATTTTTTCTATTTGTTTGTGTTATGTTTAATTATTTAAAAACTGTACAGTATTTTAATATTATCTGTTTTGATGCTTATTTTTATAAATAATGGAACCATGGTTTAATCTAAACTAACCGAGTACATTGGGTTGGGTTGGTTCTACTGACTGATTAGTTTGGTTCTGAGTTTCAATAAATTAGGAGATTCTGATTCTAATTTTATCCTAAATCATTAGAGCGCTAAATTCTCCATACTCTTTTCGTATAAAGATTATTTAGGATGTATAAATTTTTCTTCAATGCACGCTTATGTTTTTTTTTTACAAAATACCTTTTAAGATATACCCAAATAATAAATAAGTAAGACTAAATTAAAATTTTCAAATTACACTATTTCAAAAAGGGGAATGGGCTTCTGTCGCGAGTCTTAATTGAACTGGACCGTGTCTGTTCTTATGTTGTCTGTACTCAAACGACGTCGTTTGACC